GGTCATACTTGTAACCGAGGTCGAGCAGGGCTTCCTAACATACATATAACTTCTCAGATTATTAGTTTAACTTCTGAAGAGGTTAAATCAAAGGTCACATAATAAAGTTCACAAACACATAAGTCTTTTCAAGACATTTGTAACAACTATGGTTTGGATATTTATCAAGAGATACTGAGCTGAAAATCAATCCTCTTTCGACAATGCCCAAATGTTAAAAAAACTTATCAACCTTCATCAATATGCATCTTTAACTGATATGTAGAAATGTTACTAAGATCCCAATTAACAATTATGTTTTACGGCACCACAGATTGTTTTAATTCTTCAAACTCACACATGATATTGGGAAACAGGTCACTTTACATTGTTAGTAAATAGTGTTTTGAAATATTCTACAGTAGATTAAGACCTGAGAGTCTAAAAATACATTTCGGCCTTTCTGTCCTAGGCTTGTGGGTTCACTGTCCATGATTTGAGGACATTGAAAAGTTATACAATATGAGGAAGTAAGCTTTCATTTGCTGTTCATTCTTAACAACTGTGAGATTGATACGGAACTGTGATAAGATTATTATTATTAGTCCCTTGGGTTCCTAGTGGAACATAGGGCTTCACTAGCACGTCTCCAGTGGACTCTGTTCTCTGAGATCTTCTGAACCTGGTTCACGACAGCCCACAACCTCTCATTTCCTCCTCACACGATCTCCTCCATGTCACCCTCACCTCGGACGTCCAACTCGTCGCTTCCCATGCGAATTCCACTCGAGCAACTGGCCTGACGCGTGATGTCCTCAGTCGGCCTTCTCAGTGCATGCCCAATCCATCTCCACTTCTTCCTGCATATTTGTTGCGTGATAGGTTCTTGGTTGGTTGGTTCCCAGAGCTCCTTGTTACTTATTCTTTCTGGCCATCTGATCTTCAGTAGCGAGCGTAAGACTGTGATAAGATGCTGCAACACAACCATACTCACTGATACCTATTAATAGCTATATATCCTAACCTGAAGGTCGGATTTGACTCTGTTGCTCGAGACATCTTATGGTAATTTCTCTCACTGAAAGTAGTTCCGAGTAAGTGCATCACTTTGTTGAAAGCTGTTTACTTTGAACATTTATGGAAAAGTTATGGTTTATCTTGGATTACCAGATGAGTTGTGTACGCTAAATGATGTCCATCAGAGTTCTCCACACGTACCATTCATATTCTGATAACTTAAATAGAAAATTGAGAATGTTAGGGATGGATTTCCTATCATTCAAATGTAAATTGTCGCTTAAGGACAGATATTCGTTAGTGTCTTGTCTAATAATAGGCGGCGAAATAGCTGACCACTTCACATACTTCGAAAGTCGAAATCGGCTACGGTGGGCCAAAATCTCTGCATGAACACAAATCTATCGCTTGGCTTTCACCAGTTTACCCATCTGTGATGTTGTCATGATTAAAAGCTTATGGTATGGCCATTTGGTTACTAAGGGTCAAGTGCACTGCAGCACTCTGTTCTACTGTATGACTGTGAAACGTGGCCATTGAGGATAGAGAACATGAGGAGGCTCCAAGTTTTAGACCCCTGCTATCTTCCTAGCATATAACCATATGTCGTGGTTTCACTACACCAGCAATATTGAAGTCAAACGTTGAATTTTGGACAAAAGAGGAAAGCCGGCTGATGAGGTTGTGAACCTCCACTGACTCATGACTGACACATGTGTTATGCGTGCATAGTCACTGTCTTCATGGGAAAAGGTTACAAAGCGACCAGACTAAAACATAGCATCATTGCATGAAGTCCTTGACTGTTGCTTTAAGCCATGTTGTAAGCTAAAAACTAGTCATGATAACAGAAACCAATGGTTCGATAATCAACATCAGTGGCGTAGATGTATTCACACATTATCTTCTTAATCGCCAGTAGGTTTTCATTCCTCCATCCTCTCTTTTGATAGCTTTCAATTATTTTGAATTGCCTTCATATTTATTTCTTAATCGTTCATCTTGGCGTATTCTCGCATGATTTGTGGCAACTTGAACCATTATGTAGTAATGCCAGATCCTATGTTGATATCTTTTGTCTCTTTTAAATAGTTAATACCATAGTATGCTTACACTTTAGCCTCCTGTCCGTAAATCAAATCATCTTATAAACATCTGTGAAACGTAAACAGGAACGAGTTAATTACCTTAGGATTTTTCAATTGTTGAATGATTGAACGTAGTTAACAGAAAGTCCCAAGGCCGCTTACATGCATATAAGTTCACAGACCAAAGCAATTAGTTGTAATGCTACTGATCGCAGCAATAAGCGACTCAAACTTGTGTGTTTAAGGTGCGGTATAGATCATTATTATTGGGTTCCTAGTGGAACATTGGGCTTCGGGAGCACTTCACCATTTCACTTTCTTCTCTATAGTCCTTTGAACATGGCTCCACATCTGACCACAAGCCTTCATTTCTTCCTCACACCACCTCCTCCACGTCACCCTCGCCCCGAATGCCCAACTCGTCGTCTCCCCTTTGGATTCCACTCGACGGTCTGGCGCGTGATGTCCCCAAACCATCTTCTCAGTGTATGGCCAATCCACTTCCACTTCCTTCAGCATATTTGTTGAGTGATAGCTTCTTGGTTGGTTCGTTTCCAGAGTTCCTTGTTGCTTATTCCAATTATTCTGGCCATCTGATCTTCAGTATCAAGCGTAGGCATCTATTCATGATGTATGTTTGTAGTCTGTTGGAAATGCTTTTAGTGACGCGCCAAGTTTCTGAACCACCATATGGAAAGACTGACTTGATGTTGGTGTTGAAAATTCGGATCTTGTTCTTTGTGCTGAGTGCAGTAGATCTCGACACTGATTTTAGATTAATGAAAACCTGTCTTGCTTTTCCTATCGTAGTTTTGACGTCTTCATCTGTGCCGCCACCGCCCCCTGTAGTTGATATGACGCTGCCTAGGTGGTAGAGGAGAAAGACAACATCCTTTAGGTTCCTCCCGTTCACGGTGATTGATGCTTGTTGTTGCTGTTGTTGGTTGAATATCCTCATCACCTGTGTCTTCTCTACATTCACTTGAAGTCGCATCTTTGCTGCCTCTTCTGTCAACTTGTTAGTTTTTGCCTGTAGATCTTCGAGTTTGTGCGATATTATGCATAAATCATCATGGGCGAAATCCAAATCATCTAAGGTGTTTTCATCGGTCCAGCCAGCGTATACCTGTCTTCTCGCTATTCACGTTTTGCTGCATGACACAGTCGACCACAGTCAGATCATCGGTGATAGTAAGCGTCAACCTTGACTTACTCCTGTTTTCACTTTTAAGGCATCACCGAGCTTTCCATTGTCAATCATTTGGCATATGGCGTCTTCATACAGCTGTTGAATGAGATTGATAATTGTTTGTGGCACTCCGTAGTGTTGAAGCATAGGCCATCTTTATCTCACCCTAAAGTCCAAATGCTGACTTCCAAGCTTCTTTTCTATTGTCTTCAATGGTTCAACTTTAATCACTCCGTAAGAACAACATTTTAACAGTAATGTATTTTTGAGATGAATGGGGATTTTTTAATTTAGAAGTAGTATTCATCATGGACTGACATTAGTGAGGGGAGCATTGAAAATCTGGGAGCACTGGATAGCTGTTTCATCCTAGTATGGGACTCGTCAGCAGTACGCACCAAGGACCCGGCTAGGGGTCGAGCTCAGGACCTTCAGGTCTCATGGCGAACGCGTCAACCATTCAGCCACTTGGCTGGTTTTCAGTGATTCACAGTTTTCAACTTCTGTCGATTCACGACATAGCGAGACCATCACCCAAGGTCTTCAATTAGCATCCACTTCACTTCGGACTGCTTGACACCACAGGTCAATCCATGATGAATACTACTTCTAAATTTAAAAAAATCCCCATTCATCTCAGAAATACATTACTGTATAGTGCTCATTAGTGACTTGCTTCCCCCCAGATGGATATCACTAAGCCCTAGCCAGAAGCCGTGACCTGTGGGGTCAACCAGTCGGAAGTGAAGTGGATGCTAACTGAAGACCTTGGGTGACAGTCGCGCTATGTCGTGGAATGACAGAAGTTGGAAATTGTGAACCACTGGAAACCGACCAAGTCGCTGAATGGTTAACGCATTCGCCGTGAAACCTGAAGGTCCTGAGTTCAATCCCTAGCCGGGTCCTTGGTGCGTACTGCTGAGGAGTACCAAACTAGGACGAAACAGTTGTCCAGTGCTCCCAAATTGTCAATGGTTCCCTAACTGATGTCAGTCCATGATGAATACTACTTCCAAATATTTTAACACTAAATTATGCCCAAATTATGAATTGCTGTGATGGTATCACTACAGTGTGCTAGAATATTCTCCAGTTTACTATAGACATCTAAAGACAGATAACGTCAACGTAGAACGACGCACACAAGTTCATCGGCTTAAGTTGTCATAATTCACAGAAGAACATAAAGAACAGCTGGATAGAAAAAAAGTGGTATAAGCCTGGATAAAGTATTGTGGGAGAATAAACGATCTGAAGATAAAGGTTAGTGCATATTCTATAGCTTTAGATGACGTCAATGTGTGATTAAATCTGCGCCATTGTGATCGATTTCCATCCATTTCAACAACACTCCTCAACCAACGATTACTTTCCTCTCAGAAACCTTAACCAGGTAGTGTACATCGCCCCACACAACTCACACCAGTAGTAAGAGATTTCATCGAGTGACACTAGGTCTCCGTCTAGTCATCCTGAACCCTCTTTTAACTTAATCTTCAACTTCGATATACGCAACACCATTCCAAGCCATCTTAGTTGACTAACATTCACGACATAATCAATCGACGTGCTTATTTTGCCTAATACCCTTCGTCTGACCTTAGCGTTGCTCGTATGGTGATCTCACCATATACTGGCAATGATATGAAGATGCATATGATCAAAACCGGGTAATCTCTTGATATATTGTACTTTTAATGTCCATTTCTTTTCTTTTTCTTTTATAGTTTGGTAAACGATTATCCATAAATTATATGGTCAGAACAGATATTGTGAAAGTTTATCGTGAAAATTGTTCACATGGAGATTATCAACTCAGGAATTCATCATGTTTTAATTCAATAAGTGATAGGCCTATATCATCAACTACTTCAGATTTAGAAAATGAACAAATTTTAGGTGATATACATTCATCATTTGATCCTAGTTCAAAAACAAGCTCTATTGATATTGGTTATCCATTGAAATCAGTCAGTTATAGTGTAAATGATTTATCTAAACCTTTACAATTAAATCTACCAATGAATGAAGGTAATCATCGACCAAATGAAGCGTCAAGTTTAACTAGTCTTACACTTTATCCAATTCAAACATCAATAGATCAATCAATAAATCGTCAAAGTCGGCTAGATAAACGAAATATTAAATTAGTAAAAAAGCGTATTTTTGGTAATGGACCAGCTGCACGTCGATGTACACGTTCTATTAGTCAAATTAGTTCACCATTTAATATTAGTTTACCTAATTGGATACGTGCAAGTTATGAGGATAAAGTGAATGAACGATTCAATGAAACAGTATTATAATTGAAGAATGATAAATAGACTTTTGTATGTATTATATCATTCATGAGATGAATATACAATAAGATAGCAAGTAAGCTATATTCAATGCCCTAACAGGAGGTTATTATACATCACATCATCTGATAGATGTACACATACACATACACACAGGGTGATTAAGAATCTCCAGGTACCTTTTAATTTCATCTTTTATAGAACTCAAATAAAAAAATTCACTAATAAAACTATTGTCATTAATCAATATTATTCAGTTATTGTATAAAAGTATAAACCAGAGCCATTTTAAAGATTGACAAAATTCTTATTATATGAAGTTATTACTATCAGATATGCATATTAATCAGAATATATGATTTAATAAGAGAATACCTACATATTTTTTGCTTTTTTTTTTAATTATTACTATTTAATCATACAAGATTTTCATTATACTTATTATACTACTCACAAAACTACTTATTACAATATTATCGTATCAGCTATTCATGTACTGATCTCGTTTCGTCAATCTAAACAAATGAGACTAACCCGTATACAAACATTGAACATATATGAATGTATATGGACTACTTTTCTGTTGTTGTTATTGTTGTTTTTTCATGTATCAGACAAATTTAATTGTACATACATATATATATCTTTAAAGTGAACTGATTTAAAATGTTTTCTGCCGTAAGATAATCTACAGAAAAAATGATGGAAATAAACTATTTTATTGTGTTGTATTTTTAAGGTAGAATAAATTTATTTTAAACATTGTAAGTATTTTTCCTCATTTTGTTTAACTATTTGAATTTCCCACACTTTTTTTATTTTATTGATTTAAACAAAAGTGTTATTGAAAATAAAACTAAATTATTATCATTATTAAAGATTATTATCTACAGTATTTATAATAAACATAGTTGATGTATACTTGGAATTATTGAGAATATAAAACACAAGAATTGGCTAGAATGATGTGCAGAAAAATAAATTATTTATTTGTATAGGAATTTTATTATTATCGGTTGATGCTTTTCTGGATAAATGCTTGAAACTGCTTATTTAACTTCTTCACTAGTAGTCTATGTGACATCATTCTGAATAAACTCATAGTGAAGTAGCTAAGAGTGTCAACTAATTGACTTTCTACAGAATAGAATAATAGGTAACAGTGGAATCCAGTATGCGCATTTCGTCCTACTTGGGGCTCGTCAGCTGGATGGTATTGTTCCTACCGGGATTCGGAATCCAGAGCGATTGCTTCAGACGCTAAAGCTTTATCCATTACACCACGGAGCCATGATAGCCACTTCTTGTGCGACTGGTATAGTTTTAGTGTTATTGATTGCATTATATCGCCACTGATTGGACCGAATTGATCAGTCTCTGTTACCATATGGGCTCCTGTGTGCATGCCTCGATATTCTCGGCATCCAGCTGGCGAGTCCCAAATAGGACTAAATGTGCATCGTGGATTCCATTGTTAGCCGCTATTTATCATTACTATATAGTTAAGAACACAGGCAATATTGAGACATCCGAACAGGGGCCCATATGCCAACACAGACTGATCAATTCGGTCGAATCAACGACGGTATAGTACATGGAATAATAATAATAATTGACTTCATGTTTAGCTTGATGATAGACTACAGTCTCCCGTTTTTGTTTGAATAGAGAATATAGGCGTCCTAATATGCTAGTAATCATATATTACTTGGTAGTAGATTCTTCAAGTAGTAGTACTAGTCAGTATTGACTGAAATTCATGCGAATTCTTGCACCAATAATATCAGTCACAATCATTCTATTATACTCACTTACAGTTTTACATTGAACAACTCAGACGAATTACTTAGAATTTGGAGGTTTGTGAAGATTTAGAGATATTTTAACTCGGTATTCATCATAGACTGACATCAGTTGAAGGAACATTTAAAGTTTGGGAGCACTGGACACTTGTTTCATCCTAGTATGAGACTAGTCAGCAGTGCACATCCATGCTCCTTCCAGGGATCGAAGCCACGACTTTCAGGTTTCGTGATCTAGTCTTCAAGATGAGTACACGTCAACAGATGAACAGATGATCAGTTTCATGTATTTTTAATAAGAACTTGATGCTAAACACTGTAATCATTAAACAGTCTGTCAGACAATAAACTTTTTAAGGAAAATATCTAATTAGTATTAGAATTGTAAACATCACAAGTAGATATAAGAAGAAAAGCACGATAGCTATCATGAGAGAAGCAGAATGCACATAGGACATAGGATGTTGATGCCTCCCAAAATAACTGTCCTAGTTCCCTGTCAACCAAACTATCATCTATGGTAATAAATGTGAACATCTTAGATTACTAAAGCCTAGTTGTATTGTGTTCATACTGAAGTAAGTTCTGATGATGTCGTCCAGAAAGACAATGAAAACTTCACGATTGAACAACCCAGCTTACAGAACACAATACAACCAAGACCATCCATCTTAGCTACAAATATTCTCCACTATTTCAGATTACTAAAGCCTTTTCTAAAATAACTATACCTCATTATTATTATTATTATTATTATTATTATTATTATTATTATTAGTCCCTTGGGTTCCTAGTGGAACATAGGGCTTCACTAGCACGTCTCCAGTAAACTCTGTTCTCTGAAATCTTTTCAACCTGGCTCCACAACAGCCTACAACCTCTCATTTCCTCCTCACACGATCTCCTCCATGTCACCCTCACCCCGGACACCCAACTCGTCGCTTCCCATGGGGATTCCACTGGAGCAACTGGCCTGACACGTGATGTCCTCAGTCGGCCTTCTCAGTGCATGCCCAATCCATCTCCACTTCCTCCTGCATATTTGTTGACTGATAGGTTCTTGGTTGGTTGGTTCCCAGAGCTCCTTGTTACTTATTCTTTCTGGCCATCTGATCTTCAGTAACGAGCCAGAGTAAGCAGTTGTTGATGAATGTCTGTAGTTTATTGGAAATCCCTTTCGTAACGCGCCAAGTCTCTGAACCATACAGAAGCAGTGACTTGACTGGCGTTGGTGTTGAAAATCCGGATCTTGTTCCACGTACTGAGTGCAGGAGATCTCTACACTGGTTTCAGGCTAATGAACACCTGTCTTGCTTTTCCCATTCTGACTTTGACATCCTGTAGTTGAAACAGTGCTTCCTAGATAGGTGAAGGAGGTTACTTTTTTTAAGTTTCTCCCGTTGATGGTGATTGGAGCTTGTTGTTGATATTGGAGTTTGTTGGTGCGGTATCTTCATCACCTCTGTCTTCTCTATATTCACCTGGAGTCCCGTCTTCGCTGCCTCTTCTATCAACTTGTTAGTTTTTGCCTGCAGATCTTCAAGTTTATGTGACATCAGGCACAAGTCATCATTGGCGAAATCCAAGTCTTCTAGGTTCTTTTCCGCAGTCCAGCCAGCGTATCCCCCTCTTCTCGCTGCCCACTGTTTGCTGCATGATCCAGTCCAGTTGACCACAATCAGGAATATCATGGGGGATAGTAGGCAACCTTGTTTCACTCCTGTCTTAACTTCACCTCAAAAGCATCACTGAGCTTTCCATTGTGAATTACTTGACATGTGGCGTCTTCATATAGTTGTTGAATGAGATTGACAAAGGTTTGCGGTATTCCGTAGTATTGAAGCAGCTTCCAAATTACTTCTCGGTCGACGCTGTCAAAGGCCTTCTCAAAGTCGATGAAGTTGAGGTAGAGAGCTGATTGCCATTCTATGGTCTGTTCTATGATGATGCGAAGCGTCGCAATTTGGTCTGCACATGATTTGTACTTCCTGAAACCAGCCTGCCTGTCCCGGTCGTAAGTTTGAATCTAGTGCATCCTTTAGTCTCTCCAGGATGATGCGGCTTAATATTTTGCTTGCACTGGGTGGACAGGAGCGTGATTCCTCGCCAGTTCTTGCAAACACTTATGTCGCCCTTCTTCGGGAGTTTGACAAGGTAACCCTTCTTCCAATCAATGGGCAGGTACCTTCACTTCCTTCCACATCTTCTGCAATAGTGGTGTGAGCATGTCCGCTGTTATCTCTGCTTCTGTTCTCAGTGCTTCTTGCGGGATACCATCTAGTCCTGCTGCTTTCCCGCATTTCAGTAGCTTTATGGCGTTCAGGACTTCCATTGTTGTTGGAGGATTTATGTTCACTTGTAATTCAGCGACTGCAGGTGGTATTTCTGGACGAAGTGCAGGTGGTGGTCGATTCAAGAGCTTTTTGAAGTGGTCATCCCATTGTTTCCTTTGTTTCTCTTCTTTCGTAATTATCAATTGAAAAAAATCTAACATAAGAAATTTAACCAGTCCTGAAAAATTCTTTTAGAAGCTTTAAACTCAGATCAAATATTGATCATTGATATTGTTACAATCTATCAACCAATTAAGAAACACAAAAAACAACAGTAAGGTCAAAGGTCACATCAACAAGACAGCTAATCGACGCACACATATGATGGTAAAGACAAGATTATAGCAGAAATAAGTAAGTTTATCAGGACCAGTTAATAAGCCACTTGTGGAGATATGATCAGAGTTCATTTTTTTCTGAAGTTTACGCTACTGGAGTTGTGTAGAATGGGAGCGAAAGCTTCACTATTAAATCGTTTAGGTAAGATAACAACACAACACCAACATAGTGATTCTTTCTGAGATGCAAATATTGTTCAAACTAAACTTTCATCAATCTATTAAAATAACTCAAGATGATCTACTAGATATAAAAGTAAAATTTATGCTTATCCTATTTTGGTGATTTCTCCACCTTCAGCTGAATTTCAACTTACGATACTCTTCCTCAGAGTGAACTAGACAGGAGATGAAATAAAACTTCAACGTGAAGTAACTGCTGATGTAGTCGTCTAGTTTAGTGAAGAAACATCCATGGATAAGCCTGACAGCTCAGATAATACCAAACTATTATCAAAAAACCAATCTGTAAGCCGCTAATGTGGTCCCAATTAAACGTGTTTTTAAAATCACACAGGGGGGATGGTGAAGAAAACTGTTCGATTGTAAAAGTGTTGTTATGGTACTTTCCATCTTGACAATAAGTCGAATTTACTAACGTATTAGGGCTTCATATCAGCTATCAACATAAGATGGAAGAAAAATCACAAAGATACCAATCGAAGACAGAATAAAAGTCAATTATATTGCTTATTTGCTGGAAAAACCTGGGATGTGCAGGGTGTCTTCATGTCCTTGTGAAGTGGCTGAGTGTGTAACATACTAATGCAATGAGACATTTGAATTGGATATGAATAGTGACTGTTCCCCTCCGTACTTTGTATTCCACTAACCTATGAAAATATCAAAAGACAAGCTCTAACCTGTGACTGTGAGGTAGACACTTGATTCGACAGAAATACACCGTTTACATACAGTTTTCATGAACATATAAATTCAGTAGGTCAACAGTTAAATAGCTGATTCTGATTGGTCAAATACAGGACAAAACTATCCAATAAGGTTCTTTTCCTAATGCAAAGACCTTATCTTTGGAGGAATAGGTTATTTATACAAACAACACGATACTACTAGCTATCATGTTTGAACTCTATTTCTTGAAGGTTAGAAAAGCAATTCACGAGACCTACATTAATGTTTTTAGGACTTTTTCTAGCTAGATTATATTGATTACAAATAAGTGATGGTATTTCTAATGAAATTGGATCCTAGGATCTACTTTCAATCCTTAGGGAACAAATAACATTACGATTAAACTTTAGGAAGATTGCCTTCTGAGAACTCTATAGATTCACAGAAAGAACTTATCCTTTTTACTTAGTGAAATATATATGAGGCAATTGCATGGATCCGATATCATAGTTATAAAAAGTCCTTTCAAGTAAATAGTTAAGGTGAATGAAAATACGCATAAAGCCATTTTATATGAATATGAAATTTATCAAAGCTCATTTCCGCAAAAGAAAAACAACCGTTCCTTATTAGAACGTTGATTTGTCAAGCTAAAGCATATCCTTAAGT